TATATTATGTTTGGTAGCGGGAGCAGGAGTTCCCAAAAAATTTAACATTAAGACAAACAACACCCAAATTACCAAAACATAATGAGGGAAAATTTTCCTAGGCCTATACCTTGACAAAAACCCTAAATTTTCAGCCCCCCATACCCAAACACAAAACCCAAAAAAAGGGACCCAAACGGTTGGGATCCTCTCCAAGATACGATACTATGTGCCGCAAACTGCCCTTATCAAACTATACCTTTTTTCCCCTTTATAAAATCCATACCTCACCTATGCTATTTGTGTTTGGGGGGGATCAACGCAGCAACACCCCCTTAAAGCCAATAAAAAACCCCAAAAAGCTGCGAAAAGGAATAATCACTAAATCCCATCCCGGGCAACACCCCCCCCCACTCTTCATAGATCAAAAACTTCTCCCTTTTCAGTACTTTCCACACTTACTACTGTGAAATTAAAATCAAACAGGCCCTTTAAAAACCCCAAATTTATAAAATTTTGCCCTTAAAACGCTTTTTGATATTTGTGACAAAAAACCCACAGGCATAACCCCAACACAAACATCTCTACGACATTCCCCGTGTCCGACTAAACCTTTAAAAAAAATTCAATGTATGTCAAAGGCCCTAAAATCTGGAACACCCTACCTGAGAAATTTTAAAACCCTGCGGGGACACATTCATCACCTTCAAAACTACCTTTAGAAAACTTTCTTTCTCCCGGGTACCCCCCCATAAATTTAACTACACGAATACCCCCTGGTGGTTCACATTTACATCACTCCCCCTTTTTTGACCATAAACAAAAATATTAATCTCAATCAAAAAATAAAAAATCCTATGTACCCCATTACTAAACTATGTACTGGCCAAAAAAAAACATTCACATTGCTAAACTCACAAACTGTATTTTTTCACTTACCCAAATTAATCCCAATTAAACCTCATAATTTGAAATATTTTAAAAAAAAAAAAATTAAACTAAGTCTGCCTAAAATCCCTACCCCCATGCTAGGCATTTTTGGTGGACACCTGTAATCTTTATTTAACACATTAAACCCACAACAACCAAATTCTGAAAATTCAACATTGTAATCTTTATAGAGAAAAAACTTTAAAATTAAATTAAATTTTGAATTTAAAGTCTGCCCGAAATGCCTCACCCATGATGGGGTTTTTTCTTTGCCCCAAATTCATATTTGTTACGAAAAACACACACTGAAACCCTTTGAAAAGAAAAAAATATTTTTTTTTTTTATTTTTTTAAGGAGCCTTTTGAGGGAGATGTTCGGACCCTTGAAACTTAGTTCACATCCGAAGAAAAAAAAATCAACTGAACGAGGGTTTCGTACCCCAAAAAAAAAATTCACATGGTGGAGCATTTTTAAGCGGGAGGTTGCACTTATATTTTTTAAATGGTTAAATTTTAAAATATTTTTAAAATATTATATATATATATATATATATATATAAAATTTTTTTTTTTTTCAAAAAAGTCGGGTCTCCCACCGAGCGGGGGGGCCCCAAAAAAAAGGAAAAAAAAAACCCCCAAAAAAAAAAATACTTTCATCATCTTTCCCAAAACCCCCTTTTTTTCCCACCACACTCGACATTATCACGGTTTTTGCAGGGGTTTCCCAAAGGGAAACAAATTTTCTGGGAAGCATATACGTAAAAAGGAAACAACTATCCCTCCAAACTGTCAATTTTCCCAAACCCCTCCTTTAAAGTGCGGGTTTGGGTACTTCCCATTTCCAGGACTAAAGCCCGACTAATAAAAAAAAACCGGTTTTCCCCTGAATCCCTTCACAAAATATTACCCTGCTCCACTCCAACAGATCGTCGGGGTCCCAAGTACCATTGTCTCCTTTCCCTTTCCTACCCAAAAGGGCTCCGCACGCTTGTGGAAGCCCAAAGGGGGGGCCCTTTTTCCCCACAAAACCTCCTTTACCCCTTTTCCAACTCTTTCGAGGCAAACCCCAAACCCCCCCCTTCCCTTTCCCTATAGATTTATATGCTTTCCATGTCATTCTATTTTTGATCCATTTTCTCTAAATGACAAACCACCCCCAACCCCCCCTTTCTTTCTGCCTCGGGGACTAATATTTTTAAATTAACTCCACACCTTTTCCAAATTTTCCCCTCCCCCGAATTTTTTTGCATAATATTTACACCACCTTGCCCTTAGACGGGAAATTCTCCACTGCCCCCAACCCATCTCCTCGCGGGCTCTTTCCCCCCAAGTTCACACCCTTTTTAAGAGTTTTTGATATTACTATACTTTCATACTTTCCCTTTTTTTGCCCCCAAAGATAATTTTTTTTTGTCCCCACATAAAACCTCAATGCACACTCGCCTTTTTTTTCCCCCCATCAATTCTAGATTAACCTCATCCTTCATAAATTTCCAACCACCCACACGTCAACTCCCAAGTATCTGAAAACATTACTTTTCCCTTACTCCTCCCCCCCAATTTTTAAAATCCAATTTTTCTTTATCTAAATCATTTGATACCCTCATACCTTACTCTTTTTTTATGTTCACTTTCCAAATTTTACCTTTAACACCCTTCCCAAACTCATCCATAACCTTTGCAATTTTTTAAAAATCTCCCCTAAGCACGTATCATCAGCAAAAAGTAACTGTGCAAAATTTCCCCTTTTTAATTTTATTCCCCATAATTTAACCCACCCCTCCCGAACACCCCAGATTTTTCTTTTTTCAACCCCATCTATAAAATATTTAAACAACCATGGTGACATTATTACTATATATATTTATAGGTAGTAGGTTTGGGAGAAACAACCACACAGGGAGGGGATACAAACCTGCCAAGTGAGTGTTTAAAAAGGGAAAACCCGTTTGTTGGGTTTTTCATGATGGTAGGATTGGTGGTGTCCTTTTTTGTTTCCCTAAAAAATGCAAGGGTTTCAGGTACGTTTTTGCTACTTCTTCCCTTTCACTTAGGTCACACTTTCACATACATGTAAAAAGGATATATATACGTACCCCCTTTGGGTTTCCCTTTTATTTTCCTTTTTAGTTCTTGTTCTTTTCTATTTCCTGTTATCTCCATTTGGGGAAAATGGGAAAAAGAATTCTTTTCCCCCGTAAGCCCTGCGTGTTGTTTAAAGGCGACTAAAATGCCCGGGGGCAAGGGGTAGTTTAACCCCCCTTTTCCTGTATTATTACTAAATTTAAAAGGCAAAAAAAAATTGTTTTTCCCTTTTTTTTTTGGGGCCCCCCTGCCTTGGGGGGGATACAGCTGGTTTGTTAAAAAAAAAAAAAAAAAAAAAAAACTTTTAAACCCCACCGGCCATATCCCACCGAGGCAGGGTGGCCCAAAAAAAAAACGAAAAATTTTCCTTTTAATTTTTGTAGCCCTATCAGGGGAAGAGGTTACTAGCCCCTTGCTTCTGGCTTTTTGTCGCCTTTTTTAAAAACGCATGGGCCCTTCGAGGAAGAATTCAGTTCCATTCCCCCTGGAGGTAAGAAAAAAATAAACAAGAACAAGAAAAAGTAAGAAATTTGAAGAAAAAAAGAAGGGGTTTTGTATATATTGCTTGTAAAGAATTTTGTAGTGTGAACCCAAGTGTAAGTATAAGTAGAAGACGTACCTGAAAACCCTGCATGTTTATGAGACAGAAAAAAGGGCCCAGCAATCCTACCATCCTGTAAAAAAGATTTTCAGGCTTTCGTTTTTTCAATCACTTTTGGAGGATGGTTGTACCTCCCTGGGCGGTTGCTGTTTTTACCAACCTTTTAATATATACAGTGGAAACCCCCCGGTTTTAAAGATATTTTTTCATTTAGAAGATGTTCAGGTGCCAGTACCCGACCCAATTTGTTCCCCTAAGGGAAAAATTTTTAAGTTTTGTTTTGTCCATTCCAGACCCCAAATATTTCATGTACAAATGCACTTAAAAAAAATTTCCCTTTCATAATTGGGGCGCATTGGGAGGGGGATCGTTTTAAACGGGGGGGGCCATGTATATCTAGGTAGGGAGGTTTGGTAGATAGCAACTGCCCCGGGAGGTACCCATCCTGCCAAAAATGCCCCGGGAGGTTTCTACCGTCCTGCCCCGGTTTAGGGGTAAAACGGAAGCCTGAATTTTTTTTTAACGATGGTTTGGAATTGGGTGGTGTCTTTTTAATTCTGTCTCATACAAAAGCAAGATTTCAGGTACGTCTTGCTACTTCTACTTACACTTAGGTCCCCACTTCACATACATGTAAAAGCAAAATAACACACCCCCCCCTCTGGGTTTTTTATTTTTTTTCTTGTTCTTGCTTTGTTTATTTCCTCTTTCCCCCATGGGGAAATGGAAAAGTTTTTCCTCCGTAAGCCCTGGTGTTTGATGAGGCAATAAAAAGCCCGGAGCAAAGGGGCTAGGGAAACCCCTTCTCCCGTATATAAATTTCTAAATTTGAAAAAGGGGGAAACTTTGGTTTTTTTCTTTTTTTGGGGCCCCCCCGCCTTGGTGGGTACGGCCGGTTGGTTTGGGAAAAAAAGGAAAGGGGAAAAAGGGGAAACTTTTGTTTTTCCTTTTGGGGGCCCCCCCGGGCCCGGTTGGGGTACGGGGCCGGGGGTTTGAAAAGGGAAAGGAAAAAAGGGTTTCTTCTAAAAATGTTGTATTCTGGGCACCTCTGCAAAAAAAAAAGTGATTTTGTGTGAGGGGGGTGAAAGTGTTTTTTAATGATGATGAAAGTATTTTCTTTTTGGGGATTTTCTTTCTTTTTTGGGTCACCCTGCCTCGGTGGGAGATGGCCGACTTGTTGAAAAAAGAAAAAAAAAAAAAAATTACACACACACACAAACAAAACGTCAATTACTCAGAGGTATCTAAATTACTTACAACTGTATAAACCTTTACAATTATTTGCTAATTTTCATAAAAATCTATAGATATTGCACATTCCACAAAAATAATAAGAACTCCAAAAATTAATGATCATAATTTGTATGAAAGGTAATACTATATTCTGTAAACTAAGGAAACTTACACTATTGATGACCAGCTCAGGGTTCTCATGAGTGAAGGAGAGTTGAGTTCCTTTCAGAGGCACAACATGAATGGTAAACTTCTGCTCTGGCAACCTGCTAGGCTCTCCACTCATCTCATTTGATACTAAAGTGGAGGATAAATTTATTGAACCATAAGTTATTTAGATAGTGTGTAGCAGTACATAATCATGAATACAGTGAACCCTCTAATTAGCACATTAATAAGGGAGGGAGGAGGTGTACAACATTGCCAATGGTCTGAAACTTCTGAATTATGAAATTAATTTTCACGATCATGATTGCTACATAAACAACGCTCTGAATCAGTCGACTTAGTCTGCTGATGCAAAAGATAACTGGATAATAAAAACATGGGTATTGTAATTTGTAGTACTATAGTACGGTACTGTACTGTATAGTAATTTTATAGTACAGTACTATATGTAAGTTTGTCTTTTTTTACTTACCTTTTAATGGTAGAGAGATGAGGTGTAAACTGCCATGATTGATAGTGGTGACTCAGAATAACTTTCATTCAAGTCAGAGGAGCTGTAGAGCTCTACTAGCAAAAGCTGTATGACCCTTGTGGGTTTAGCACCTAGTTGTGATTATACATAATAATAATCTACTAGTGAAAATAATGTAGATGACTGAGAAAACATAGAGGGCTAAGAAGACTGAGATGCCAGACTCAACCTTCTTTAGTTCAAGTTTCTGCTTAATACTGAGAGCCACATGTTTCCTCTTGGCACCATCACCTGCTTTAGAAGCCACCATTCAATGCACTTTACTTAACATGTTAATAAATTCACACAAAACACTGTAAATTCAGGGAAAAATTGGAGCCTGAATATTATTATTATAATAAAAAAAGAAGCGCTAAGCCACAAGGACTATACAGTGGAGACTGAATAATATATGCACAAGTGAGCCCAAACAACGAACTGGCAAAGGTGACCTATGGCTCATTGAACAATGAAAACAAACAGGGCCTGGACATGGCCATGCTGGCCCATATTGAATAAATGTCAGAGTAATCGAGTTCGGCCCAATGCTTCAGAAAACAACTGGACACTTTCACTCTGGACAAAATCTGAAATTATGGACTTTTTTCATTTTGTCTGATGCTTCTAAAGTTTATTCAGCCAATTTTTTTGTCCAAAATTGCTAAAATCCATTAAATGGAGGTCTGTTAATAAGAGGTTTTACTGTGACAAATAATGTGCTCTTTAAACTCATGACAGCATATTACCTATGGTAATGTGATAGTATATTACCTATAACAATATACAGTGGACCCCCGCATAATGATCACCTCCGAATGCGACCAATTATGTAAGTGTATTTATGTAATTGCGTTTGTACGTGTATGTTTGGGGGTCTGAAATGGAATAATCTACTTCACAATATTCCTTATGGGAACAAATTCGGTCAGTACTGGCACCTGAACATACTTCTGGAGTGAAAAAAATATCGTTAACCGGGGGTCCACTGTACTCCTATAAAAAAAATATTTTTGTGTTTAAGCTCTCACGTATAATTAAATATATTCTATCTGCACCACTGAGGAGTAAATGTAAGAAGCTTATACTACGGTTACAGAAATTAAATAATTACCAGTAAATTTGAAACTAAAATATTTATCTTCTTGACCCATGTCTCCTAAGGGAGGCATATAAATAATTTTCATATCATTGATATCTGCTTGCATAAACTGATGAAGTTCCAGTCCTGGTGAATCAATGTTGAAGAGAGAGCCATCTAAAGGCCCCAATGGATGGGTAATGATATAGACAAGATGCTCTGGTGACTGTGCTCCTGCAAATGACAAGTGACTGGGAGTAATCGCCACTGCTTGGCCTTCCTGTACCTGAAAAAATGCACTTTATCAATACAGCAATTATCAAGAGCGAGAAAATAAAGTTCTAGATGACAGACATAGAAGAATACACATTAAAGCACAAAACTGATGTGTTCTCAGATAAAATGGGCAGCAGATGTTGGACCATCAGTACAACCTGGCAATTCGCTGAGTGATACCAGGCACCTTCATAAGACAACCAGTCTAATGTGTCCAATGTACGGGAATTGGTACTATTTTCTACAACCAGCAGCTATGGAGGAAGGATAAGCTGAAGCCCAATTGTGATTTATTACTCAATTGATTTTTTTTTTTTTTTTTGCCATTAAAAGGGGTCCAATGATGCTGTCAGTGATCTTGCAAAAAGTCGTCTTACAAATGGAAAGCAATCAACGAATAGCAAATGAGTGTGAGAGATTGAAAGATCTTGAACTGTGGAATATTCCAATACCCCAAAAGTACTTAAGTTCACATCCCCAAATTCCCGTGAGGCCAGGAACCCAAGAATAGGCAACAATGCTGTATCTACTAAAAGTGTGATTCGGTCAATGCTGAATGCAAACAAAAGTGTGATTTTTATTTTTTAACACGTCAGCCATTTCCCACCAATGCAGGGTGATCCAAAAAGAAAAAAAAAAAAGAAAGAATAAAACTTTCATCATTCAACACTTTCACCATCATTCACACATGATCACTATCTTTGCAGACGTGTCCAGATATGACAGTTTAGATGTCACTTCCAACAGCCAATATCCCAAACCCCTCCTATACAGTGCAGGCATTGTACTTCCCACCTCCAGGACCTAAGTCTGGCTAACCAGTTTCTCTGAATCCCTTCACAAAATATTACCCTGCTCACACTCTAACAGCTTGTGAAGTCCCAAAACCCATTCATCTCCACTCACTCCTATCTAACATGCTCACACATGCCTGCTGTATGTCCAAGCCCCTTGTTTTTAATAATAAATTTTGGTTTGTTAAAAATATAACTCACTGTAATACCAAGCTGGATCCCTGGTGCTGGGGACACCTCTGTCTTCTGTGGTGATGGTTGCACTTGGATGATGAAGGACTGGTCAGCAAGCATGTTTGGTGGATGTGAACTATCAGCAATGGAGAACAACAACTGGTCTGATGTCATGTCCCCCACACTTTCCTCTCCTGAATGGACGTACCATACACGGCCTTCATTCACATCTCGTTGGGTGAAGCTGTTACAATTAGAAATTTGGTATTCTTATATGGTGCTCTCACTTGAAGCTTGTGGCTTGCACCATTATTCATCCACCTTGCCTTAAGCCATCAACCCAAGAAAGTGTTCTGTTAATTTTACTGTATACAATAATACAGTATTTTGCCCTCTTTGTAGAGTATCTAACCACATTTATTACATATTTACCAACATTTATTGCCTGATATATTAAAAATTTTATTGTAAAAGTATTCAAGAAATATTTTGTCTAGAATTCATCTCTGATCATACTGTAAGTGTCTGGAAAAATGGGGCTTACTTATCATAAAAACATTTGGCAAACAAAATCTCTAGAATTCCTCTAATATAAATGTTACAAATAGGATTATGTAAAGGTAGAAAGTTGAAAGTGAACATAGAAAAGAGTAAGGTGATGAGGGTATCAAATGATTTAGATAAAGAAAAATTGGATATCAAATTGAGGAGGAGTATGGAAGAAGTGAATGTTTTCAGATTTTTGGGAGTTGATGTCTCAGCAAATGGATTATGATGGATGAGGTTAATCACAGAATTGATGAAGGAAAAAAGGCGAGTGGTGCGTTGGGGTAAACGTGGAGACAAAAAACATTATCTATGGAGGCAAAGAAGGGAATGCATGAAAGTATAGTAGTACCAACACTCTTATATGTGTGTGTGAAGCTTGGGTTGTAAATGCTGCAACGAGGAGGCGGTTGGAGGCAGTGGAGATGTCCTGTCTAAGGGCAATGTGTGGTGTAAGTATTATGCAGAAAATTCGGAGTATGGAAATTAGGAGAAGGTGTGGAATTAATAAAAGTATTAGTCAGAGGGCAGAAGAGGGGTTGTTGAGGTGGTTTGGTCATTTAGAGAGAATGGATCTAAGTAAAATGACATGGAGAGCATATAAACCTGTAGGGGAAGGAAGGCGGGGTACGGGTCATCCTCGAAAAGGTTGGAGGGGGGGGGTAAAGGAGGTTTTGTGGGCGAGGGGCTTGGGGTTTGGGATACTGGCAGTTTGGAGGGATATGTTGTGTATCTTTATACGTATAGCACCTATGCAAAAACAGTGATTGTGTGAGTGAGGTGAAAGTGTTGAATGATGATGAAAGTATTTTCTTTTTGGGCATTTTCTTTCTTTTTGGGTCACCCTGCCTCGGTGGGAGACAGCCGACCTGTTAACCCTTAAACAGTCCAAACGTATATACTATACGTTTTTTCAGCATTTGAAAGTATGTAAAAAAATTTCATCATCTTTTTTATTTTACATTTGAAAATGTGTAAAAAAAACTTTTATCTACATTTTTTTTTTGTTATATTTGAAAATATGTAAAAAAAAACATAGATCTACTTTTGGAGCACTACGGATTTGAATGTCAATCTATTTGGACCGTTTAAGGGTTAAAAAAAAAAAAACTGACACTAACTTTGCATTTGCTTTATTTATTCAAGTTAATATTGTATTTTATCTCCATGGAACAATGGAGAAGAATCCTTCCTCCGTTAGTCATGCGTGTCATAAGAGGTGACTAAAATGCTGGGAGCAAGGGGCTAGTAACCCCTTCTGTATAAATTACTAAACGTAAAAGAAGAAAAATTTTATTGGCGTTTCTTCTTTTTTGGGTTACCCTGTCTCAGTGGGAGAAAGCCAGTGTGTAAAAAGAAAAAACTGTACTTTATTTAACAAGTTCAAGAAATAAAGAAACTCACCTTGTAGTAGGTCTCACAAGATGGGTTTCATCCATCTGAGTCCAGCCATCATTATAAAACCCATCAGGGGCTGGAGGCAATGGGATGATCAAAGTTAACTTTCCTGTTAAATGATACAAAAAAAATACACTAAATATAACTGTTGTACATTAGCTTTACACATATTTTTCTGCAGTACAAGGATAGAATTATACAGTATATTATGTAAATATTATGCAGAGAATTTGAGAGTGTGGAAATTAGGAGAAGGTGTAGAGTTACTGAAAGTATTAGTCAAAGGGCTGAAGAGGGGTTGTTGAGGTGGTTTGGTCATTTAGAGAGAATGGATCAAAGCAGAATGACTTGGAGTGTGTATAAATCTGTAGGGAAAGGAAGGAGGGGTAGGGGTCATCCTCGAAAAGGTTGGAGGGAGGGGGTAAAGGAGGTTTTGTGGGCGAGGGGCTTGGACTTCCAGCAAGCATGTGTGAGCGTGTTAGATAGGAGTAAATGGACACGAATGTTTTTTGGGATTTGACGAGCTGTTGGAGTGTGGGCAGGGTAATATTTAGTGAAGGGATTCAGGGAACCGGTTATTATAGATTTAGCCAGGCTTAAGTCCTGGAAATGGGAAGTACAATGCAGCACTTTAAAGGAGGGGTCTGGGATACTGACAGATTGGAGGGACTTCTAAACTGCTGTATCTGAGTGCCTCTGCAAAGATGGTGATTATGTGTGAGTGAGGTAAAAGTGTTGAATGGTGATGAAAGTATTTTCTTTTTGGGGATTTTCTTTGTTTCTGGGTCCCCCTGCCTCGGTGGGAGGTGACTTGACTTGTTGAAGAAAAAAATGAACATAGATCGATAAATGCTAAAAGAAAAAAGACCTAAACAAGCTCACTATACAAAACATTCACTCGTACTAATGTGCAACCTACATTGACAGAACAATCAATTCTAATACGTATAAATCCTGACCTGAAATGCTTTCTTGACAGTTGCAATGGGACCCATGGACACAACACTAGGCACAAAAACCTCTATGACATTCCCCATGTCAGACTAAATCTTTTCAAAAACTCATTGTACATAAAAGGGTCCAAAAATCTCGAACTCTCTGCCATAAATCTCCAGAACCACTGGCTCAGCTAGCATTTTTAAAACTACAGTTAAAAAACACCTTATCTCCTTAACCTATCCCAGCCCATCATAAATATGCATGTAAAAACTATACATGCATTTGCTCAATATCAAAGGTAAAACTCTCTCACCAATATAATCAATATATACTTATTCAAAATATCTGTATTCATCTCAAATGTTAATCACTCCATTGTGTCCATCTAAGGTTAATAATCAAAACTGTATACCTTCTCTACAAGACTTATTAAAGCCATATAGCACGAACTAATAGAATACAGTGGACCCACGCATAACGATATTAATCCGTTCCTGAGAGCTCATTGTTATGCGAAATTATCGTTATGCGAATGAATTTTCCCCATAAGAAATAATGAAAATCAAATTAATCCGTGCAAGACACCCAAAAGTATGAAAAAAAAAATTTACCACATGAAATATACATTTTCCTACACACAAAGAGAAGGATACATGCACAATAGTAGAGTAGTACATGCACAATATATATTGTGCATGTACTACTCTACTAAATGAAGAATAAATGACACTTACCTTTATTGAAGATGCAGCAATGACTGATGAGACACTGTGTCCTGAGAGTGCCTTTTCCCCCTACTGTAGGTCCTGTTTGGCATTTTCTTCCAGAACAGGCCTTATCACACTGTGTATGCCACTACGATTCTTAAATGCCTCACACCAACCTTTGCTGGCTTTAAATTCACCAATATGAGCACTAGTTCCAGGCATTTTTCCCTGTTCACCTGGGTGTTAGTCAACTGGTGTGGGTTGCATCCTGGGAGACAAGATTAAGGACCCCAATGGAAATAAGCTAGACAGTCTTCGATGACACTGACTTTTTTGGGTTATCCTGGGTGGCTAACCCTCTGGGGTTAATTGTTTCTTGGTATTCTCAATAAGCCACACCAACAACGGCGCTACAGCAGCAGCAGCAGCAGCAGCAGCTGACAGTGCTACAGCAGCAGCTGACAGTGCTAAGCAGAGCACAGCAGACGGTGCTACAGCAGCAGCAGACAGTACTACAGCAGCAGCAGCAGCTGACGGTGGTACAGCAGCAACAGCAGCTGACAGTGCTACAGCAGCAGCAGCTGACAGTGCTACAGCAGCAGCAGACGGTACTACAGCAGCAGCAGCAGTTGACGGTGTTACAGCAGCAGCAGCAGCTGACGGTGCTACAGCAGCAGCAGCAGCTGACAGTGCTACAGCAGCAGCAGACGGTGCTACAGCAGCAGCAGACGGTACTACAGCAACAGCAGCAGCTGACGGTGGTACAGCAGCAGCAGCAGCTGACGGTGCTACAGCAGCAGCTGACAGTGCTACAGCAGCAGCAGCTGACAGTGCAGCAGCAACAGCAGCTGACAGTGCTACAGCAGCAGCTGACAGTGCTACAGCAGCAGCAGCAGCTGCCAGTGCTACAGCAACAGCAGACGGTGCTACAGCAGCAGCAGACGGTACTACAGCAGCAGCAGCAGCAGCTGACAGTGCTACAGCAGCAGCAGCATCAGCAGTTGACCATGGTACCACAGTATTTCGATATTTCTCACCCTTTTTACCACAGGGTTGGCACTAGAAGCTTTATTGGGGCCCATGGTCACTTATTTTGCAGATAAAATCACCAAAAACGCTGGCTATGTGAGGCTGGCTCAGGCCTCGCATAGACGCGTCTCGGACAAATAGCGTTGAGCGAGTTTTTTAGCGCTATGCGAGGCAAAATTTTAGTGATAAAATGTATCGCTATGCGGATTTAACGTTATGTGATGCCAACGGTATGCGGGGGTCCACTGTACTCAATTTTCTTGTATTCATTGTAACTCATCTAATGACCATATGTACTATTACTGCCTTGTTAATCTTAAGTTAATTTTAAGTTTGCTCGAAATGCTCTGCATATAAAGGGGCTTTTGGCATGTAAACACAATTATTATATTTCTTTGTATAAACATCATATCATGTCAAAATAAAATATTATTATTATTATTATTATTATAATGTGGCAGTTGTATGGTAACTTCACTGTAATAAACATAAACAAAACAAAAATACACAGATTCCAGAGTAAACATGAATTACACAAGAGGACTGAAAGGTGCTGTATATGCTCTAGTTGCAGTGGCAAATAGTAATCTAAAAATATGTATAGGACATAAGAAAATGCCTGCACTTTAAAGGAGGGGTTTGGGATATTGGCAGTTTGGAGGGATATGTTGTGTGTCTTTATATGTGTATGCTTCTGGACTGTTGTATTCTGAGCACCTCTGCAAAAACAGTGATAATGTGCGAGTGTGGTGAAAGTGTTGAATGATGATGAAAGTATTTTCTTTTGGGGATTTTCTTTCTTTTTTTTTGGGTCACCCTGCCTCGGTGGGAAACGGCCGACTTGTTGAAAAAAAAAAAAAAAAAAAAAACATATAACTAGCTGCAGCTACATATGACAATTATGGGTTTAACGCTTAGTTATGATAATAATAATAATACAACCAGCTAAGAGAACCTCTTTCCTTCTATTTGACATATTTCTGGATAACTTCAATGGTTAAATTTTTAGTTTTTAGATTCCTTTAGTCAAATATTAAAATTTTAATTTCTGTATTAAAAAGGTTGAATTCCTGTTGTGCATCATTCTAGAGGCTTCAACAAGAGAAGACATTTTCAGAAAGGTGAACTAGCATATAATTAACATTTTTCATTATTAAAATTCAAAATCACAGAATAATGAACACAATAGTTCAAGAAGCCCTTGAAACTGCACCATCCCTATTGTTGTTCACTGTACAGTATTATAACTACTTTATTATGATAGGGTGTGTAAGAGAGAAGGAGATTACTTCCCAGTAAAAGTGGGTCTTAGACAGGGATGTGTAATGTCAACATGGTTGTTTAATATATTTATAGATGGGGTTGTAAAAGATGGGGAGAGGGGTGGGATTAAATTATGGGGAATCAAATACAAAATGGGAGTTGATACAGTTACTCTTTGCTGATGATACTGTACTTTTGGGGGATTCAAAAGAAAAGTTGCAAAGGTTAGTGGACAAGCTTGGGAGGGTGTGTAGGGTAGAAAGTTGAAAGTGAACATAGATAAGAGTAAGGTGATGAGGGTATCAAATGATTGAGATAAAGAAAAATTGGATATCACACTGGAAGAAGGGAGTATGGAAGAAGTGAATGTTTTCAGATATTTTGGAGTTGACTTGTCAGCAGAGGGGTTTATGAAGGATGAGGTTAACCATAGAATTGATGAAGGAAAAAAGGTGTGTGGTGTGTTGAGGTATCTTTTTTTTTTTTTTTTCAACAAGTCGGCCGTCTCCCACCGAGGCAGGGTGACCCAAAAAGAAAGAAAATCCCCCAAAAGAAAATACTTTCATCATCATTCAACACTGTCACCTCACTCACACATAATCACTATTTTTGCAGAGGTGCCCAGAATACAACAGTTTAGAAGTATATACGTATAAAAATACACAATATATCCCTCCAAACTGCCAGTATCTCAAACCCCTCCTTTAGAGTGCAGGCATTGTACTTCCCATTTCCAGGACTCAAGTCCGGTTATATAAAATAACCAGTTTCCCTGAATCCCTTCACTAAATATTACCCTGCTCACACTCCAACTGCTCGTCAGGTCCCAAGTACCATTTGTCTCCATTCACTCCTATCTAACACGCTCACGCACGCTTGCTGGAAGTCCAAACCCCTCGCCCACAACACCTCCTTTACCCCCTCCCTCCAACCTTTTCGAGGACGACCCCTGCCCCGCCTTCCTTCCCCTACAGATTTATACGCTCTCCATGTCATTCTACTTTGATCCATTCTCTCTAAATGACCAAACAACTGTGGAGACAAAAAACGTTATCCATTGAGGCAAAGAAGGGAATGTATGAGAGTAGAGTGGTACCAGCACTCTTTAAATAAGTGTGAAGCATGTGTTGTAAATGCTGCAATGAGGAGGTGGCTGGAGGCAGTGGAGATGTCCTGTCTAAAGGCAACGTGTGTTGTAAATGTTATGCAAAGAATTTGTAGTGTGGAAATTAGGAGGAGGTGTGGAGTTGCTAAAAGTATTAGTTAGAGGGCTAAAGAGGGGCTGTTGATGTGGTTTGGTCATTTAGAGGGGATGGAACAAAGTAGAATGACTTGGAGAGCATATAAATCTGTAGGGGAAGGAAGGTGGGGTAGGGGTCATCTCCAAAAATGTTGGAGGGAGAGGGTAAAGGAGGTTTTGTGGGCGAGGGGCTTACACTTCCAGCAAGTGTGCGTGAGCGTGTTTGATGGGAATGAATGGAGACAAATGGTTTTTGGGACTTGACGAGCTGTTGGAGTGTGAGCAAGGTAATATTTTGTGAAGGGATTCAGGGAAACCAGTTAGCCGGACTTGAGTCTGGAAACAGGAAGTACGATGCCTGCATTTTAAAGGAGGGATTTAGGATATTGGCAGTTTGGAGGGCCATCTAAGCTGTCGTATCTGAGTGCCTCTGCAAAGACAGTAATTATGTATGGCTGATGGTGAAAGTAGGAAACACCTGACATGTTAAAAATAAAAATTATGATACAGTACATATTACATGAGTAGCCATTTTTTTTTATAAACAGACTGTACACTTTAGTTGGGAATTTAAAACAGCAACACCCACCTTGACCAGGATTCTGAAGCATGGGAAGAAGAGTATAAACCAGGTTATCATCATCTGAATCTATGTCTCTGGCTTGTAGGAGCTGAGGAGAGATTTGGACTCGGGATCCTGACTGAACACGAGCGCCTTGGTTTTGTATTAGAACAGGGGCACTTAATTCTTCTTCAACAATATATACTCGAAAAATGAAATTAACCACATTATGTTCATCACTTGCTTGCAAAAGTATTCTATCTGTTTTGGAGGATGAGTTGTCATGGGTATACATTACCTGCTCCTGCAACAACTCATCCAAAGAAAACAGAACAAGCTCTTCCTCTTCTACACACAGCTGACCATAACTAGGACCATCCACTACTCTAATGGTAACACTTTCTGGGTTATCGTAATCATGGATATTAAGTATTTTTGCACTTATAGGTTCCTTATGTCCTCGAAAAATTACAAGGGGCTCATTCATCACAATTTCTGGTGGATATTTAGATATAACATTAATAGATATAACTTCTGCTAGAGACTGATACTGGCCATCAGACACACTTAGCCACATCTCTCCATACAATGGTCTATTTGTCTCATGCTTATAGAATATCCGATTTTCTTGCATTTCTTCCACTTTGAACTTACTGCCATTTATTAATTGCTCATCTTTGCCGTTGAAATATCTGAATATACCTCCATTTGAAGGTGTTTCTTCCACATTCACAACAAGCTGATCATTTGGAGTATCAACATCCTTGATATACAATACAGAACTATTAACTGATAATGGTTTTCCATACTCCACAACTAATGGTGCTAAGATATGGATAATAGGTTTCTCAGTATTGTAGTGACAAACTCCAGTTTTAGTGTTGGGGAAGTAATTCTTGCCACAATGATCAACACACTGACCATCTTGAAGTAGGTATGGAGGCTTACATGTGTGGCATTCATACAAGGAGCACTCAGCACATCTGTCACCACACTCTGTAAATCAAAATTTATTTTAGATTTAAAACTGTACTTTCTATGCAACAAAACTTGAAATTTTTTAAATAAATGTATAACTACTTTAAGTTTCTTTTACAAAAGTAACAATACATGTTTGGTGTTGGTTAATAAAAAAATATGCAATTATTCACGATTTTTTCCATTAATATAATGCTTAACAGATTTTTTTTTTTTTGTAAACAGCACAATAATGATCTAGGTATCTATAAAGGTATATCAAGAGTCTTTTGTGGGTTATCAACACCAATTCTCACATGCAGTAAAGTATACTAATAAAATACAAATTTTAAACATTCTAAACTATGAAAAATAATCTGTCAGTTAACATATACACACCATAACAGATGTTATCAAACACATTAGCAAAAGTTCCTGTTCTGCATGAGGTGACACAATGGCCGTCCTGTAGTAGGTACGGTGCACGGCAGGCTTGACAAACTGTACTTGTGTTGCACTTGCTGGCTCCTCCTGGGCATGCTCTACATTCCTTACCAGTGGGATAGTGACCTGAACAATATTAAAGAATTTTTAATTTATTATACCTCTTCACTTATTTCCTTCATCCCAGTTGCCATATTTAAAGTAAGACTTACTGATCATGTAAACCAAAACAAAGTGAAAGAATAACAAAATTGTATTTTTGTGTGTATGCACATTCGATTAACCTTAGAGACTGAGCTCCAGCTTCTGGACCTTTTAATCATTAATCAGCCAGTGTAACACATTCTAACCCCATGAATATTGTCATAATTACAATTAAATTTGTGTACATGTAGTTTGCATTTATTACCTCCTTCCCTAGTATATTGCATTTGCTCAATAACCTCACACTGAAGCAATTACTACTTTTATTTCTTTGGCTTATTTCAGTGTTTAATTTCTTTTTATGCCCAAATTATAAAGCTATTACATGTTGAATGATGTGCCATGTTCACTTGGAACTATCACTTCTCCAGAACCATGAGTAAATTTTAACCCAAATCTGCTCTCACTGCTAAAGTCCTTCAGTTAGTTTAATATGTTCATTATGCACCTGATACCCATCCTGTGGGCAGTAGTCAAAAGATTACAGAGGTACATATTGGGTCCAGGGACTGGGGGCTGGGCCCCAAAGTTTTGATAGCTGAACAAGGTACAAAGGTAATGAACTCACAAGTTACAAAGGTAATGAATCATGTAAGTAAATTTACTTACTTACATTTATACATGGCTATAATCATGATCAAATTATAGAGTAATAAGCAATTCACACGTCCACACCTGGTCACAACTATAATGAGTTATTGGTGCAAATATTAATTGTTGGGTGTCTCTCTTTCTCTCTCTCACACACACACACACACACACGTGGGGCCAGGAGCTGTGACTCAACCCCCATTGAACTTATTTGAAATCAGAGAAATCAGTACAGTATGTACGTATGTGCATTTTAGATACACAGTATGTGTATCTAAATATGCTTTGAGCACTTCTATAACGGCATACAAAATACTGCGTGAAATAGACAAGGTAGACAGAGACAGGATGTTCCAGAGATGGGACACAGAAACAAGGGATCACAATTGGAAGTTGAAGACCCAGATGAGTCAAAGGGATGTTAGGAAGTATTTCTTCAGTCATAGAGTAGTCAGGAAGTGGAATAGCCTAGCAAGTGAGGTAGTGGAGGTAGGAACCATACATAGCTTCAAGATGAGGTATGATAAAGCTCATGGAGCAGGGAGAGAGAGGACCTAGTAGCATTCAGTGAAGAGGCGGGGCCAGGAGCCGACTCTCGATCCCTGCAACCACAATTAGGTGAGTACAATTAGGTGAGTGTACACACCACAACACACACACACACACCACACCACAACACTACCTCTCTCTCTCTCATCTCACTCAGCTCTCACTCACTCCTCTCACTCACTCGCTCTCACTCACTCGCTCTCACTCACTCGCTCTCACTCACTCCTCTCACTCACCGCTCTCACTCACCGCTCTCACTCACCCGCTCTCACTCACCCGCTCTCACTCACCGCTCTCACTCACCGCTCTCACTCACCGCTCTCACTCACCTGCTCTCACTCACCCGCTCTCACTCACTCCCGCTCTCACTCACTCGCTCTCACTCACCCGCTCTCACTCACCCGCTCTCACTCACTCGCTCTCACTCACTCGCTCTCACTCACTCGCTCTCACTCACTCGCTCTCACTCACTCGCTCTCACTCACTCGCTCTCACTCACTCGCTCTCACTCACTCGCTCTCACTCACTCGCTCTCACTCACTCGCTCACTCTCACTCGCTCACTCTCACTCGCTCACTCTCACTCGCTCACTCTCACTCGCTCAATCTCACTCGCTCTCACTCGCTCACTCTCACTCGCTCACTCTCTCTCTCTGACGACACTGGAGGACAGGAGAGACAGGGGGGACATGATAACGCCATACAAAATACTGAGAGGAATTGACAAGGTGGACAAAGACAGGATGTTCCAGAGATGGGACACAGCAACAAGGGGACACAGTTGAAGTTGAAGACACAGATGAATCACAGGGATGTTAGGAAGTATTTCTTCAGCCACAGAGTAGTCAGGAAGTGGGATAGTTTGGGAAGCGATGTAGTGGAGGCAGAATCCATACATAGCTTTAAGCAGAGGTATGATAAAGCTCACGGTTCAGGGAGAGTGACCTAGTAGCGATCAGTGAAGAGGCAGGGCCAGGAGCTTGGACTCGACCCCTGCAACTCAACTAGGGAGTACACCACACACACAACACACACACACACACACACACACACCAGACACTACCACACACACACACACACACACACATGTGGGCAGGAGCTGTGATCAACCCACTGATTTCTGAATTCATTATTAAACACAGTATGCATTAGTACAAGTATGTCTATTGGGCACTTCTATAACTCAGCAAAGTATTCTAGAACCAAAGCAGCCTCTCCCTTCTATCTGTAGCAGACTTTGAAGCTGGAGCTTCACCTTCCCAAACACAGAGTCTGGCACTCATCTCTCTTCCACCTCAAAGAACTTAGAATTAGATCCAGAAGCTGGAGTTCAACCTCTTCAAATACAACCAGGCTAGTAACAGGCTCAAAAACAGACACTCAATGCCCTCGAAGAGCTAAGCATCAGACCCAGAAGCTGAAGCCTAGCTCAAGGAAAATTACTATTGATGAAGATCTAAGAGACCAGAATATTTTTGCAACTTATTCAAACTTCTACCTTTTTCACCAACACATCAGGATACTGCTTGTAAAGAAGATATACACATTGGTCTTGGATGATCCTGAGTTCAGTTTTAACTATCTGTTGATAGTGTTACTATAATTGTATGCTATACTTATGTTCAATCTTTAACAACTGTTTTGCAGTTAATTTTCTCTCTATTTTATTCTTATTTCAAATTACTACAACTTATTTAACCCTTTGACTGTCGCAAGCCCCTTTCTGAAACTGTCATTCTATGTCGCAAAATTTTTGGAAAAAAAAAATGATTTTTTCTTAGGAAATGATAGACAATCTTTTCCCGATGGTAATGACACCAAAAGTACAAAATTTGGTCGAAAACTTGTGGAATTATGCTCCCATGAAGTTAGCGGTCTCAGTGACATATACGCATCGGTGATTTCGCCGACTTTGAGCCCTGCTTTTGGCTAATTCTGTTGTTCCAGTTGACCAAACTCATAGCTATTTCTTTAGAACTCCATTTTTTCTATCAGTTGAGTACAAGAAACCGCCCATTTACTGATTTGAACTACCCAATAAAGTGGTCAGAAATTGGCAATTTGGCCAATTTCATGCAAATTAAAAAAGTTGCCAATTTCAAAATAAGGTCCAGAATAAACAATGTAGAATTTGGCCACACAATTAACAGTCCTCTGTCATTAGTCACGTCTAGGCCTCTTATATTTTGACTATTGCTTTCTATTTTTATTTTTTGTTCATACAAAAAATACAAAATTTACTTTGTAGATGAATGGTTTCAGGAACGAATGTTGATAAATAACACTGGCAACTCTTGGTATCTTTATTGAGGAAATAAGTTCGCACACATGGCTTCATCGCCATACATAGGCAAACTTGAAGAACAGAGAGAATGAGGTAATCATCCTCAACCTGAGTACGATGTGTCAGTCCATCAATCATGAGTAGAGTGAAACTCTTGGTATCTATAGAAACGTATCCCACACAGTGGCATTCATCAGTCATACTAGGTCTTCCTATGTATTGACTATGAAGCCACTGTGTGGCGAAACGTTTCCTCAATAAAGATACCCAAGAGTTGCACATGTGTCTAATTTATCAACAAAATTTACTGTTATACAGACTACTGCATTATTATAAAAATGGTATAAATAATATCAGTGCACTAGTGAAAGAATATTAGACTCCCCAGTTGACGTGTATTGGACGTGTGGTGTGATTTGCTTACTCTTGAAAATTGGTAAAAATCAAACATTTCCGCTAAATTTGAGCTCAATTTCAAGGTCGTTTTCATCGTGAAACTAATCAAAATCATCTCTATTTCTGTAATATGTTTTCCATTCTATCAAATGAGACCAAGAAAACGAGAATACAACCATAAATACTATACGAAAATTCACCTCAAAGTCGGCGTTTTAATCCAAAAAAAAAAAAGGTCAGTTTTTTTTTCTCATTATGCACTGGGTGCTGCAGGATTTTTTTTATGTGGTGCACACTGACCACACAGACCCATTCTCTACCAGTTTTCTCCTACTTGATTTGAAGCCGCTAGAATTTACACGTATAAATACGTCTGAAACAGTGGCGAGTAAGACATATATATATGACCAAAATAGTCAAAGGGTTAAGTTAGTCCTAGGTAGTAGGTTGGTAGACAGCCACTGCCCAGGGAGGTACTACTGTCCTGCCAAGTGAGTGTAAAACAAAAGCCTGTAACTGTTTTACATGATGATAGGATTGCTGGTGTCTTTTTTCTGTCTCATAAACATGCAAGATTTCAGGTACGTCTTGCTACTTCTACTTACAGTTAAGTCACACTACACATGCATGTACAAGCATATACAGAGGTACCTCGGGATATGAACTTCATTCCAGAAGGCTGTTTGAGTGCCGATATCGAATAAATTTGTTCCCTTTAGGAATAATGTAAATTAGATTAATCCATTTCAGACCCCCAAAAATACACTTACAAAAGCATTTACATAATTGTTTGAGTTTTGAGCTGTTCATATCCTGAGGTACCACTGTATATACACACCCCTCTGGGTTTTCTTCTATTTTCTTACTAGTTCTTGTTTATTTCCTCTTATCTCTATGGGGAAGTGGAACAGAATTCTTCCTCTGTAAGCCATGCTTGTTGTAAGAGGCGACTAAAATACCAGGAGTAAGGGGCTAGTAACCCCTTCTCCTGTATACATTACTAAAGTTAAAAAAAGAGAAGCTTTTGTTTTGTTTTTGGGCCACCCTGCCTCAGTGGGATACGGCCGGTTTGTTGAAAGAAGATTAATATTAATATTTATGCAGTTACCAAATAATTTGACAACAGACTGATAATTTATGAACAAATTTCTTCAGTTTTTAAAGATCAGCATCAGTGTAAACACTGTTGTGGAAATCTTAAGGCTTGAGGCTGGTAAGGTTTACTAGCTTACTGTTTATTTTTGTATTTTCAGCTACTTCATTATGTTATTTCTATATTCTCTGATTCATGAATCTCTTACATTCAGGTTTACTTTAGTTTCAACCATGAAGAAGGAGCAATCATCAAGACTCAAACTTCTGGCCTAATGAACTTTGAAAAAGCATGTTATCACTGCACCATGGGAATTAACTAAGTTAACCAAGGACTCTTAATGAATTCACCAGGCTGTGCAGGCTCTAAACTGGGGTGCAAATTTACATCTCTACATAACTTACAACACTAATCTGGATGCTAAAAATGTTTGTTCATGTATCCTTTCATTCCTCTTAAAGAAAATTAAAAATTTATAATGTTATGAACGTAACAATTTTTTTTTTTTTTTTTTTTTTTTTTAAATGAACGTAACAATATGAAGCAGAATTAACTTGGCTTGAATTCTGCATTGGGGCCCAAATTCATGTTTTAACGTAAGTACCAATGCTAATATGGGTGCTAGGTAATGTTTGTTTCTACATCCCTACAAATTGAAATTTCACCCTACAGTCCTATGAATGCAATGATGTAGCATTGAAATTTTTATAAAAAACTGGAAAGCTAAATACTTTTTTCTTGAAAAACTTAATTAGTTTTCTTTTTCAGCAATACTGTCATTTTACTTGCCTGGAGAGCACTGTGCAAGACATTTGTTACCCTCTTGAAACATGCCAGATCCACACGTTAAGCAGTCTGCTTCAGAGGGTCCTAGACACCTTTCACAAGTCCAATGGCATTCCCGACATTCGCCATTAGCAGAATTATCAGCATAAAACATGTGAGGGCACTTATTGACACATTTTCCATATAGCAGGTGTTTGGTGGGTGGACATGTTAAGCACAAGGAGCCATCAGAGGAACATGTATCACAGTCACCTTCACAGCTTTGGCAAGTCTTTTCTAGGCTTAGGTAGGTTCCTTTGGGGCAAACACTATCCTCACAAATTCCCTTTGGAGAAATAATAATAATAATAATAAAATCTTGGTTACTAATATATTTTAGTATGCCTATAAAAATAATAATAATAATAACTGTAATAATATTTTTATTTTAGCATGATACATGTTTGTACTAAGGGGTGTAATAATTGGGTGAACATGCCAGAAGCCCCTTTATATGCAGAGCATTTCAGGCAAACTTAAGACTAACTTAAGATTAATAGGGCAATACATTACTGTAATTTGTACATATAGTCATTAGTTAAGTTACAATGAATACACCTACCATCCGACTTACGACCGAGTTCGGTTCCGAGAAACCGGTCGTAAGTCAAAATGGACATAAGTCGAACTTTACTACTGAATGTCAACATAACATTTTTTTAATGACTTTATTTTATTGTTTTATTTTGGTATTTCATGTTTTACTTTACTTTTTATGCTGTTAGTACTGTATTTTATACTGTAAGGTTTAGGATAAACACTGTGTACAACACAACACTTGTTTATTTCCCAGAAATTTGGCATAAAAAACACGGTCGTAAGTCGAGTCGTCATATGTCGAGCAGGTCGTAAGTCGGATGGTAGGTGTACAAGTAAATTGAATCTTCTATTAGTTCGAGCTATGTGGCTTTAATAAGTTAGGTAGAAAAGAATTACAGTTTTGATATACTGTAGTATAATAATACAGTATTACAATTGAGCACAATTTAAAACAATGAAGGTGAAACAATTTTAAGTTTGAGGAAGTGATTATATAGTTGATCAATCATCAAGTACAATTTACAATAATGAAATATTACAATTTAGCACAATTTAAAACAATGAAATTGAAACACTAGGTAGTAGGTTGGTAGCCAGCAACCACCCAGGAGGTACTACCATCCTGCCAAGTGAGTGTAAAACGAAAGCCTGTAATTCTTTTACATGATGGTAGGATTGCTGGTGTCCTTTTTTCTGTCTCGTGAACATGCAAGATTTCAGGTATGTCTTGCTACTTCTACTTACACTTAGGTCGCACTACACATACATGTACACACACCCCTCTGGGTTTTCTGCTATTTTCTTACTAGTTCTTGTTCTTGTTTATTTCCTCTTATCTCCATGGGGAAGTGGAACAGAATTCTTCCTCCGTAAGCCATGTGTGTTGTAAGAGGTGACTAAAATGCCGGGAGCAAGGGGCTAGTAACCTCTTCTCCTGTATATACATGTATTACTAAATGTAAAAGGAGAAACTTTCGTTTTTCCTTTTGGGCCACCTCGCCTCGGTGGGATGCGGCCAGTGTGTTGAAAGAAAGAAAGAAATTGAAACAATTTTAAGTTTGGAGTAATGATTAAATAGTTGGGCAATCATCAAGCACAATTTACAATAATGAACTGAAACAATTTTAAGTTTGAAGTAAATGATCAAATAGTTGAGCAGTCATAAATTATTGAGGAGTTTTTGAGTAACTTTTGAGTAATTGGTAGGTGTTAAGTATAGTGTTTGTCTGGTTAATTTTAGGTGATGAGATGATTCTAAGCAGGTCCTTAAATTGATCTGAAGGCAGGGGCCCTCTAGTGTGTTCTGGCAATGAATTCCATGTCTTCGAGCCCTTTATGTGCATAGCATTTTTGCATAGGGAGAGATGGACATGAGGGATATCAAAGAGGGATTTGTGTCTTGTGTTATGCATGTGTATTCTGTTGTAGTTATCAAATAGGAGTTGAGAGGAGGGTTAATGCTGGAGTATAATGTTCTGTGTGTAGTAGGCACAATAATAAGTGTGGATGTTTTGCATACTGAACAAGTTAAGGCTCTTAAAAAGCAGTGGAGTGTGCTGTCTAGTGCAGGAGTTAGTAATCAATCGCACAGCAGCTGTTTGTTGGGTTATTAAAGGTTTAAGGTGATTTGCTGTGGCTGAGCCTCATGCACAAATACCATAGGTGAGGTAAGGGTAAATGAGAGAGTGGTAAAGAGCAAGAAGAGGTGTTTGAGGTATATACTACCATATCTTTGAAAGGATGCCTACTGTTTTGGAGACTTTCTTGGATATTTGCTGTATGTGGGTCTGGAATTTGAGACTGCAATCAAGGTGGAGACCCAGAAATTTGCCCTCTGTGTGTCTTGAAATGGGTGAACATTTATCAATATGTTTGGCTGTACATTTGAAGCTCTGTTTCCAAATGGCATGAAGTAGATTTTGTCTATATTGAGAGTAAGTTTGCTGGTAGTCATCCAAATAGATATTTTTAGTAGTTAGTTATTTACAGTGTCTGTTAGAATAGTTGGGTTTGGGTGAGAGAAGACATAAGTAGTGTCATCTGCAAATAAAACTGGTTAAGGAGTTTAGATGCATTTGGGAGGTCACTGATGTAAATGAGAAAGTCTGTCTGACTTTTTTGGGTTATCCTAGGTTCTTGACATATATGCTGGTATGTATGATAATCTATGTAACTGTATTTGTGTATACCTGAATAAACTTACTTACTTACTAAAGACACTACCCTGTGGGACTCCAACAAGAACAGGTTGTGTACTGAAGTTGATGCCATTTGTGTATACATACTGGTATACATACTGGTTAGGTGCAATAGGTCATGATCAACTGTATCAAATGCTTTTTGTAGGTCTATATTGTGTATTGTATCTAACATAAATAAGTGTGTTGTATCTAACATAAATAAGTGTGTTGTATCTAACATAAATAAGTGCCTAATATACATAACCAAAATAAAATCTCTCATTGTCCTAACCAGTATTAACAGAATTTTTTTGGAGGAGAAAATGAAATCAAATACATATGAATTCTTACCGTATCAATCAACTTGGCCCCATTCAGACAGGTTTTGCAGTTGTTCATAAAAGGTCCTGTGCATGTGACACATCTTGGGTGGCACCTCTGACAACTCTCTGACTCTGTGTCATGAAAGTATCCATGACTGCACTCATGAACACAACGTTCACCTTCATGAAACTTATGGCTCGACTTGCAGTGCAAACAAATGGAAGTTGATGTGCTGGCCATGTTTAAGGTACATACACTACATGATGAGTGACAAGCTTGATGTTGAAAGAGAAAGAGTTGACAATTAATAACAGAAAAAGCTCTGCCTCACTGAGTAATGCTATCACAAGTATACTGACATAGAAAAAGTGAGAAACTTAAATAGAAATATAAAAAACAGGTAAGAGAGATACCCTCTTCAGAAGAGCTCACATATTTGTACTCGCACAAGATAGTGTCCTGGGTCCTTTGATACTCCTTATCTACATTAATGACCTTCTTAATGCTTTGCAGGGACTTAAACCAGTTCTGTTTGAGAATGACATAATTTTTGTCACTTCAAATGCTGATTCAACTGCACCAACAACACCGTAAATAAGCATTTACTTGGATCACAACTGACAAACTTTAAATATTGACAAGACCTTCTAAATAATGCTTAGGAACAAAGCTAAAAGTCATTCAAACAAAGAATATACCTGGACAGCAAACCAAATTCAACACACAAACATCCAGAAAGTTTCTAAAAAAATTAAAAGCAGTGGGCATTCTCTCAAAAATATATTACTGTCTCTCAAACATCCCTGTCTCAATTTGTACTACTCTCTACTCTATCCATACCTCACTTTTGGTTTGTGTGCATGGGTATCAACATCAGCTAATCACCTTAAACCCTTAAACTGTCCAAACGTAGAGCTACGTTTACATGTGTAATGCTCCGAACGTAGACCTACATTTCTTTTTACATGCTTTCCAATGGAGAAAATAAAGGTCAGAGTGCTACGCACGTGAACGTAGATCTACATTTGAACAGTTTGAGGGTTAAACCTGTTCTTACTTGTTAAATATCAACTCTCAAAATAAACACAAATTCAGACTCCAGGCAACACTACATGTAAACTACATTATCTGTGTAGTGCATAAAAGAAATAAAAATTTGAATAACTTCATCCAGTTTCTTTGTGCATACAGTATTGAGAAAAATGGTAACACACTTGGACAACCAGTTTTACCACATGTAAGTTAATATAAAACTTATTTCACTCTCTGGCGATTAAGGAATCAAATACACATGATAGACAAAGATACATGCATTCCTTACTCTGACACGTGTTATCCAGTGCAAGGTAGTGTCGGTGATAACACTTGGTGAGGCACTCAGAACCTGTTTCTCGTCTGTGTAGTGTGGCACCCTTATAGCAGCTTAAGCAGTTCCTGTGGCCTGAACCCGAACATGTACGACATCGAGGGTCACATGCTGGAAAAAACAAAGAAACCAATTATGTTGTTTAAATTTTATGATAAAAATGCAGTGTCATATTAAATAAAAAAAAAGAATATTTGAGTCTTGTAAGTAGTAGGTTGGTAGACAGCAACCACCCAGAGAGATACTATCCATCCTGCCAAGTGAGTGTGCAACAGAAACCTGTAACTGTTTTACATGTTGGTAGGATTGATGGTATCAATTTTGTCTCATAAACACATTGGATAACAGGTATATCTTGCTACTTCTACCTACACTACCTACTTCTCCCGATGAAAAGCAGGGGCGCCACGAGTACACTGAGAGACAACACAATAAGTGTCCGGGGCCCAAGACTGTTCAATTGCCTTCAGGGTACACAAGGGGGATTACCAATAGACCCCTGGCTGTCTTCAAGAAGGGACTGGACAGGCACCTGAAGTCAGTATCTGACCAACCGGGCTGTGGTTCGTACGTCAGCTTGCATGCGGCCAGCAGTAACAGCCTGGTTGATCAGACCCTGATCCACCATGCGGCCTGGTCTCAGACCGGGCCACGGGGGCATTGACCCCCAAAACCCTCTTCAGGTAAATGCCAGGTACACTTAGGTCACACTACACATTCATGTACATACATATATATTTACACACCCATAAAAAATAAAGATTTTATTTCTTTGTAAAGATTACAATGTGTAATTACAATTTTGGTTTCCTAAGTACAAAGAAAGTCATATCATGGTTGGGCATTTCTGGCAGACTAATCTTAGTACAAGATAAGAGTGGTTAACTTTTATTAAATCTGAGTTTTCTTCTACTTTCTTAATAGTTCTTATTCTTATTTTATTTCCTCTTATCTCCATGGGAAAGAGGAAAACAATTCCAGTATCCCCTTCTCCTATATAAATTACAGGAGAAGGGGTTACTGTATATATTACAGGTTCATGAAAAAAACTTTACTGTGAGGATAAGGTTCATAATAATCATATGGAATACAGTGGACCCCTGACTTATGACCAGCTCCCAACTCGAACAATTATGTAAGTGTATTTTTTGTAAGTGCTTTTGTAAGTGTATTTTTGGGGGTCTGAAACGAACTAATCTAATTTACAATATTCCTTATGGGAGCAAATTCATTCGGTAACGGCACCTGAACAGCCTTCTGGAACAAATTAATATCGTAAGTCGGGGATCCACCGTATATTGTTATGCAGGTAACAGACACAGCGTCATCTTCAGTAACAGGCAGTTTACAAATATACATAAGTATGCACTAGTGGTAAGAGAATTCTCTTGAAGATGATATAAAGGGCACCAGCTGCCATAAATGTCAAACAGAATAATTCATTCAAGACGAAGATGGTGTGACAGCAATGTGCATTGGTCTAGCTGCTGTTAGCAGTGATGGTGCCCTAGGAAGTGATACAGTAGACAATGAAATAAAGTAATGCAGCAAGATCAAGTGAGTGATGTTTAGTGAAGAACAGTGATCAGTAATTAGTGTGAAATGAAGGAGTAGTTAGGTAGGTGAAATGTAGTGAAACAGTGTTGTGATGACATGCAAGAGTTATGTAGCACAGTACAGTGTACAGGAAGTTAACAACAGTGATCTTGTGCCCAAGAAGATAGCAGGCTGTTGGATGTGGACTGATATCTAGTGTTACAATGTAGCACTGTTACATAAGGACAGATGGTGCTGTGTAAAGTACACAAGACCTTTACAGATTATGATCATGATGATTAATGAACCATGAAATGATACTTGTAAAGAGAAATGAAACTTGCACTATAACCTGTGCTGTAAATATTACTATCATGTTTTCACTAAGTTGTAAAAGTATAGTGGTTGTAAAAGTGGTAATGGTTACTGTGGTGGGCAGAGATGAGATTGTTTTGCTGTAATCTAATAATATAGACAATTTTGTAAACAACAGACAGCATATGTTGACTCAGTACATTTTGTCTCCTATTTCCAAAGTCTATTAAATCAGGGTTCTATTAAATCAAGATGTGTTAAATAGAGGGCTTACTGTATTTGCTTGAGCCTTTCACCCATTGTACACATGTACATGCATACCCAGTGTGAATAAAAATATTCTTTATAGCTCTTGTTATGATGTACAGTAAACTACTGTTATACATTAGGAAAGAATACTTCGTTATTCTTATATACATTTAAATTATAAGTATTACATATTGCTGGGATGTATAAATAGTTATATACTACTGTAGCTGTCACTGAAGTTATCGATATTGTGCTATATTGCAGGGATATACAGACAGATATACATTATTGCTTCTGTGATTTATTTTCAAAATAAAACTACTGTACTAATTTTTGCAGGATGTATCTCTCACAGATACTGAAGCATGTGTAGAATACTCAAACTGTTGGTAGGTGTCGGCCATCACTGATCCGGCAATCACTAATCTGGCACTAATTTTGGCTACTGTAATTTCAATTTAACTGTTGGATTAAGCATATTCTAACCTAACCACTCTGTGATCCGGCAAAATCACTAATCCGGTACCTTACACGTCCCAATGATGCTGGATTAGTGATGTTGACCTGCACTGAAAAATACATACCCACCAACCAATCTTCCTAGTGACAATTATAAAGTTTCTAATCAATCTGGGCTACTTTCACATGTCTGCATTTAGCAAAAGTTAGGTGGTACTGAAACTGGTTTTTATATTATCGCAATATATCACAGCACAGCTTCTTTTCTATGTTACTTACCTAAGCAGACATTTCTTTCACTGTATTCATAGAAGCCTGCACCACACTCCTCTACACACTGAAAGTATTGTAGCAACCAACCCTCTTTACACTTGTAGCAGGAGGTAGGTTCTGAAGCATGCCATAACTCACACCCTGCTGGTGGTGCTGAGGATGAAGAACTAGAATTATATTAAAGGAACAATAATCAGGTGTTCATTAGATTTAATTTCTTTGCCATTTGCATGAGTTCACTCATATACACTAAGATTGTTATAGGTGATTAATTACAGAAAAGCTTATGACAATAATGATAAAAATGAATGTGGTTTCTTCTTTGGATCACCCTGCCTATGCAGGAGATGACCAATTTAAAAAAATACTACCTTGACAGAAGATGGCACTAGATGTAAATAAAAAATATTAATTATTTTATTATTAACACACTGGCCGATTCCCACCAAGGCAGGGTGGCTCGAAAAAGAAAAACTTTCACCATCTTCACTCCATCACTGTCTTGCTAGAAGGGTGCTTTAAACAACAGTTTTTAAACTGCAACATTAACACCCCTCCTTCAGAGTGCAGGCACTGTACTTCCCATCTCCAGGACTCAAGTCCAGCCTGCCGGTTTCCCTGAATCCCTTCATAAATGTTACTTTGCTCACACTCCAACAGCACGTCAAGTATTAAAAACCATTTGTCTCCATTCACTCCTATCAAACACGCTCACACATGCCTGCTGGAAGTCCAAGCCCCTCGCACACAAAACCTCCTTTACCCCCTCCCTCCAACCTTTCCTAGGCCGACCCCTACCCTGCCTTCCTTCCACTACAGACTGATACACTCTTGAAGTCATTCTATTTCGCTCCATTCTCTCTACATGTCCGAACCACCTCAACACCCCTTCCTCAGCCCTCTGGACAACAGTTTTGGTAATCCCGCACCTCCTCCTAACTTCCAAACTACGAATTCTCTGCATTATATTCACACCACACATTGCCCTCAGACATGACATCTCCACTGCCTCCAGCCTTCTCCTCACTGCTACATTCATCACCCATGCTTCACACTCATATAAGAGCATTGGTAAAACTATCCTCTCATACATTCCCCTCTTTGCCTCCAAGGACAAAGTTCTTTGTCTCCACAAACTCCTAAGTGCACCACTCACCCTTTTCCCCTCATCAATTCTATGATTCACCTCATCTTTCATAGATCCATCCGCTGACACGTCCACTCCCAAATATCTGAATGCATTCACCTCCTCCATACTCTCTCCCTCCAATCTGATATCCAATCTTTCATCACCTAATCTTTTTGTTATCCTCGTAACCTTACTCTTTCCTGTATTCACTTTTAATTTTCTTCTTTTGCATACCTTACCAAATTCATCCACCAACCTGTGCAACTTTTCTTCAGAATCTCCCAAGAGCACGGTGTCATCAGCAAAGAGCAACTGTGACAACTCCCACTTTATGTGTGATTCTTTATCTTTTAACTCCACGCCTCTTGCCAAGACCCTCGCATTTACTTCTCTTACAACCCCATCTATAAATATATTACACAACCACGGTGACATCACACAGCCTTGTCTAAGGCCTACTTTTACTGGGAAATAATCTCCCTCTTTCCTACATACTCTAACTTGAGCCTCACTATCCTCGTAAAAACTCTTCACTGCTTTCAGTAACCTTTAAATATTATAATAATAATTATAATACATGCTGTATGTTCTGAACAAATACATTACATTTATTATGAGCCTAGGCAATATATTTTTTTTAACACACTGTGATGGAAACACACTGGTTTTAAGGAGTCACATACCCACATCTTTCATGATGTGCATGGGAAACAAATAAATGTTGTGTTTATGGTAAGCAGGAGAGTGTGAACAACAGTGCACAATCTATATGTGTAGTGAAGTGCCCCTCACCCCACTCCTTGGGCTTGCCTGTGTGTAGTGTACAGTGACCCTCCCCCTGCTTCTCATAACCCCTCACCTCGGGCATCCCCACACCAAACTACCGGTGCCTCTATCATTCAACTCCCCTACCTCACGCACCCAACTCCCAGCGACACCGCAACTGTAGAGGGTACTTTTTCCCTGCCAGCCTCAAGCCCCACCAGGCCACCATGCTGGCACCCCCCTCCTCCCATCCCCACAATGTCAGCGATGTCACAAGACGAGCTGGGTTCCCAGGAACTTCCACTACAGAGCCAGTGCCGTGGAATTCAACTGCGAGGCAACTGTCAGGTGTGCCACATGGAGTGAGCACTCAATCCCTCAAATCTCAACATCTGTGCACACAGTGGATGTCTAGGCTCCCAGAGAGCCCCAAGTGGGAACAACCAACTGCCCTCCCAGCAGACAGAGCTGACAGCTACTGTGACTTCACCTATACAGAGGACCTGGGATGTGAAATCAAATTAACATCCACCAGGATGCTGATACATCCCCAAAGCAGCTCTCCCTAGGGCTGCTAGCAAATTCGCTGACCTCTTCGGGAGGGCTAATGGTGCCCCTCCAAGCAGCAGATTCTGGCACAACCTACTGTTCTTTGCAATGGCTGTCTGGCTGTCCCACCAAGGAGGGCCAAGCACTTAGCAACATCTGTTATTGGGGCAATAAATGCATTTCCTAGAATGTTTATTAATTTTTGATAGATATTCACTGTCTTCTATTTTTCATTGTATTCCAACTGATTGCTAAATAATTTTCATAGTGAAATCTATTATAATTCAATATTCTTCATATTTTTTTTGTCATAATTCTTGTGGCCTACTCATTCTATCTTTATCACTTTTTATTCAATATTTTATACAATTTGTTTTATGTAATATCTGCCACATTTGATTTTGTATATTAATGTAATATTATTGATAAGGTAACAAGAGGACCCCAATGGAAATAAGTTACCCTGTCTGACTTTTTGGGTTCATCCTAGGTTCTCTACACATATGCTGCTATGTATCATAATCTATGCAACTGTATTTGTGTATACCTGAATAAACTTATTTACTGTCTGAAACCAAGGTTGGTACCCCCCCCCCCAAAAAAAAAAAAAAAAAAAAAAATTCACTATGCCAAGGCAAATTACAAGTGAATAAATGCCTCTTTAGTAAAGTTTGGATTATGCACATCATTTCAAACACAACTCACATTCATACCATAGCTCAGTTGCTAGTGCACACATTGAGGTCCATGGTTTGATCCCCAGTATGGGTGGAAACATTGGAGCATGATTTCCTTAAGACACCTGCTGTCCTTGTTCACCTAGCAGTAAATAGGTACCTGGTGTTAGCTGATTGGTCACATCCAGGGGACAAACTTAACCTGATTTGCCTGAAATGCTCTGCATAATCAGGGGGCTTTCTATACAGTATGTCAGCTATGTTTGTATATGTTGTACATGTACTTATAGAAATCAAGATTATTATTATTATTATTACTAGGAGAGTATATAAATCTGGGATGGGGGGAAGGAGGGGTAGGGGTCATCCCAAGAAGGATTGGTAAGAAGGGGTAGGGAAGGCTTTGTGCTAGGGGCTGGACCTCAATTTCTAGCCCCGAGAAATCCTACTGATATCTCACTCATCATCAAAACACTAAAGAACAAGACAGGAGACCTAAATAACTTACTGCCACTCATGTATAAAAAAGCTTCTCATGTGTTGTCACCAATTATTGCAACTCTTAACAAATCTACTGAATCTTCTACCTTCCCATCCATAATCAAGACAGCAAGGGTCACCCTGATCCTCAAAGGAGGTGATTCAACTCAATTGAACTGAACAACTACAGGCCTATATCAAACTTACCTATATCAAACTTGTACTCTCTAAAATCTTCGAAAAATGAATTCACAAACAAGTCTACTCCTACTTAGTATCCCACAACATACTTAACCCCTGTCAGTTTGGATTTAGACCAAAAAAAAGTACTAATGATGCAATTATACATATGCTTGAACTATATAACAATCGGTGCCATTTACCGGATACCCCACACAAACATCCCAAATTTCAGTGAGAAACTAAAGGCACTAATAATAAACAGACAAATGAATAAGCACCACCTTCTCTTAGCTGGAGACTTCAACATCAACCTTGGCCTACTAGATGATCAGCCTGTAACTGATTTCATCAACAATATGAACAACACACTTCTCATACCAACAATAACTAAACCAACCAGACTCACTGAAACGAGTGCAACCATAATAGACCACATATGGACCAATATACTAGCCCCCCTTAAATCAGGGATAATCACAGATAGCACTACAGACCACTACCCTACCTTCCTCTTGACAAACATTAGTAAACCATCACTTGAATACAACAAAGTTTTATTTACACTCAATGATGAGGCCTCAATAAGGAAGTTCACAGCTGACCTAGAGACTGTTGACTGGCGTACAGAATTCTCCAAGGCCAATGGCATTGATGACTTGACAGACATTTTTCTTAACAAATTACTTAGACTATACAACAAACATTGTCCTATAAAAATGAAACAGATCACAAACAAACGGCTTGGTTGCCCATGGCTAACCAGCACCATTCTGAAATCCATTGATAAGAAACACCAATATGAAAAGCAATATAGACAGGGCTTAATACACAAAGATATTCTTAAACACTATTCATCAGTCCTCACCAAAGTAATAAAGAAAGCCAAACAACTATACTACTCCAGTAGATTCACTGACACAAGAGGAGATATAAAAAAGACCTGGAAAACACTCTCTCAGATTCTAGGGACCCACAAACTGAAAAAAAAACAAGAATATTGCCCTAACTAACCTAATGAAACACCACTGCATCCCACTGACACAGCTAACAAGATAAACGACTTCTTCTCAACCATAGGTTCTAATCTCGCCAATAAAATCCCACGCACCAATGCCCATGCCGGGAACTACCTAGATGGGAATTTCCCAAATTCCTTCTATCTTGCACCAACTGAGCCCATGGAAGTCACCGAGATTATAAAGTCACTTAAAAATAACTCAGGGAATCTGTCTCATGTCCCACCATTATTGTACAAGAGAGCGGCCCATGTCCTCTCGCATGCTATCTCATTACTTTTTAACAAGTCACTAGAAACTAGCACCTTCCCAAAACTACTCAAGACGGCAAGGGTTACACCAATACATAAAGGT